GTGGCCGTGCTCAGTGTACCACTGCAATAGCTTAATGTGTCCTCAGCTTCCTCCTCCAATGGCTATTTTCACAGAACTATGGTTTTGCCATTGCATTTAGTTAGCAGAGCTGAAAAGATTGAGGGCAAGGATGCCTTCTTTTCTGAACAAACTATGATGGAAACCTGGGTTGAGATAGGAGGAATATTTTGTGGCCCTCCAAAATCACATTATGTCTACCTTGTTTTTTTTTTCCTTCTAATCTGTATTTGTTGTAAATGTTCTATAGTTTATTTAGGTGCTAAGGTGGTAAGTTGTGATACATTAATATTTTCCTCTTGTTTTTGTACTTTAATCAACAGTGGGCATGAAATAATTGTCCCCCAAAATCCTGAACTGGTGGTGCTCTGAGTTCATTGGTATGACACAGGAAACAGCGTCCGTGCTTCTGCCCAGTGGGGGAGGCTGCCTTCAGCTCAGATCCCAGCCAATTTGTTTTTTTTCTCCAATGGGTGTTTTTTAAAAATCTTTTCCTTTCACTCAGTAGGGCAGAGAACAAAATGAAGCTCCTGAATGGAGAACATAGAGCACTCAGGTTAGAGAACAAGTAAGTGTACAAGGAAGTGTTTTGTTACCTGCAAGAACAAAGTACCTCCGAGTACAAAAGGCCTTGACAACACCACTGATAAACACTGTAAAGGCAGCTTTATGCAAGCAGGACAGCAAAGGCTGAAAGATTTTCTTCAAATAGTAATAGAAACCCTGATTCAAGGCAACAAGATCTTAACACCGACAGCAGTGAGACAAGAATAGCATGGCACACCCAGGAAGAGGATGGGGGCACTTGGAAAAGTATTCGAGCCAGAACACAGACTATTCTTATAGCCACACTAGCGAAGGGTTTGCAACTGTCCATAGTGAGGAAGACTGGAAATTAAGATGAGGATCCCACTGTATATCTTTGTAGCTTATTGCATATATTTATGTTTGGTATAGCACGAACTTCATACACATAGCTCTCACTTCACTGAGTGGATTCAGTTAATCTTTTCTTGGCTTCTTAAAATCCCAAATTAAAAATTTCTCCAGCTGATGGACATAGGTAAAATTCAGAGTAGACAAAATTGAGGACTTTCAAAAAGCTATTCCATCTAGATGTTTGGCACATTACACTTCTTCAGAACAAATGGCTCCTGGCTGGGTGGTAGAATTATGACACCATAAAAACAACCACTGGCTGTTAAATTTGCCACCTTCCACCTCAACGGGATTATGACATCAGATATAAAGCAGCCAGTCATGTCCTTTCCTTCCCTTTTCTCTCTTCCTTCCTTCCCACTCCTTCTTTCTTTACTTCTTTCTCATGTCCAGTTGTGCTGAGGATATAAAACTAAATAAACCTCTTTCCTTTCCCTCAAGAAGCTCACAAGCTTATATAGGAAGCAAATGAATATAATACAGTGTGATAATTTTAACAATGTAAACATGTCCAGAAGTTAAAGAGAGAAAACAT